ATGTGGCTCAAGCGGTAGCGCGCTCGCCTGGCATGCGTGCGGCCCGGGTTCGATCCTTAGCACCACATACCAACAAAGATGTTGTGTCCGCTGAGAACTAAAAAATAAATATTAAAAAAAAAAATTCTCTCTCTGAAATAAGAATACAATTACAGTGCATTCCTGGGAAATGACTAGGAGCTTGGATATTACAGCAAAGTTAAAAATTTTTTTTTTAAATGAAGTTTCACTGTGTTGCTTCGGCTCAGGCTAAGATTTGAATTGAAGAGCTTGAGGGAGCCATGTCTTCCTCTTCTTAAAAAACATTTAATCTAGTTGGGTTTGGTGACTCATGTCTGTAATTCCAGCATCTGGGGCGGCGGAGGCAGGAGGATCACAAGTTTGAGGCCAGCCTCAGCAACTTAGTGAGACCCAATCTTGAAAAAAAAAAAAAAAAAAAAGGGCTGAGGATGTAGCTCAGTGGTAAAGCGCCTCTGGGTTCAATCATCAGTACCGAAACAGACAGACAAAGTCAAATGGTGATACCAGTTTCTAAATGCTTGCTTTCAATTTCTATACTTAGCTCATTGCAGTCAAGCAAGAAGCATTTTATTGACTGGCAATAGTTCAAAGACTACACCTTCCCTGGAACGGTGGTGAACACCCATGATCCCAGCAGCTCAGGAGGCTGAGGCAGGAAGGTCATGGGTTCAAAGCCAGCCTCAGCAATTTAGCAAGGCCTAGGCAACTCAGTGAGACCCTGTCTCTAAAGAAAATGCAAAATGGGGATGTGGCTCAGTGATCGAGTACCTCTAAATTCAATCCCACTCCCCCCCAAAAAAGAAAGACCACACCGTGAGTACTAGTAGTCGACAAAGAGGCAATGTGGGAGACACAGGCCCTCTGACTTGGCATTTTAGGGGAGAGTCAGGCATGACTAGGGGAGGGTGCGTGGCGGTGCTGGTGAAGGGGTGCTGTGGATCAGCCCAGAGTCGTAGGCTTTCTATGAACAGCACAGGGAAGGACCATTTCGGGGAGATATAGACCCCTGAACATCATAGGAACTCGAACATAATTTGTCAAGTCCATGGGCTGGGGCAGTAGCTCAGTGGTAGCGTGCTTGCCTAGCACATCCAAGGCCCTGGGTTTGATCCCCAGCACAACACACACACACACACACACACACACACACACACACACACAGTCTAAAGTTTCCTGTCCCAAATTATGGCTCT